GGCCAGGCTGGTCTCAGACAGCTGACCTCAGGTGATCTGCCGCCTCGGCCTCCCAAAATGCTGGGATTACAGGCGTGAGCTGCTGCGCCCGGCCCAGGGTATTTCTCTGTAACAAATTCATGCTTGCTTTTAATTTTAAACGAGGCTCTTTATACTAATCATGTTTTTTGTCTTTGACTTTGCAATAAGGGGAACCACACAACTTCCAGAAGTCTTTGTTGCCTTGTATGTTAAGGCTTCAGTGTCTCATGCTATTCAGGAAGATGAAACTTTTGTGCGTCTGTAGTTCTTAAGTGTGTGATTCTAAATCTGAGCAGCAGGGTGGCATCCAGGCAAATAGGGCAGAAGCTAGGTTATTATTTACACTGACTGTTCTTTTTCCCTTCCATACAGTGCTCTGGTCTGGGGTCTGTCTGTGAAACACAATCCTCAGAAAGTGGGTAAAGACCATACGTTGGAGGACGAGGATGTCATTCAAATTGTGAAGAAGTGAAACTTTTCCCCTTTCCCATCTGCCGGGCGAACCACAACAGCCTTCCCCATGATCAAGCACCCTACCCCAGTTCTTTCTGGTTTTGGCAGTCACTGGATCAGGATCCAGGGGAGGGAGATGGAGGCACCCAAACTGGAACTTCATTTGTCTTACCTTGGTGTCACCTTGTATGTCGAACTGCATAAAAGACCTGGTAGGCTGGTCAGCTACATACAGCTCATGTGTCATTGTCAGAATTTGTTTTGGGATGGGCTGAATGAGGAAGGGTATATACGGTGAAGTAGCTACAGAAGGGATCCTTGGAAACTTGATCTTGAGTGTGAAATGGATAAAAATATGACATGCAGCATCTTCTTTGATGTTTACTTATGGGAACCCCTTCCAAACTAGATGTGGCTTTCAATCCTTTCAAGTGGTCTTTCCCACATGATACTGGAGAGAGGAAGGACTTTATGTAAAGTTAACTGATCACTCCCTGCAAGGCCAACCTGTTTTGGGAGATCATGTAATTTAAGTACTTAGACCAGGCAGATCAGGGTTTGAAATTGCAAGTCCACTTCTAGTTAGCTGTGGAGCCCTGAACAAATTACCCAACCTTTAGGAGCCTCAGTTTCCTCATGTAACATGGGGATAGTAATAGCACTTACTTTCTGCCGTGGTGATTGTCAGTAATGTAGGGATAGGTACTTATAAATTGCTTAGCACAGTATTTGACATATAAGTACTCAATGACTCTTGGCTTTTGTTGCATCCAGCCTTTTACTGGGCTGTCTGCCGTATGCAGAGCACAGCTGTACATCATCAGTATTGGGCTGAATGTTGAGCTGAAATGTTGCCAGCTGGGCCACTAAATGCTTTCTTCTTTTTTTTTTTTTTTTGAGATAGTTTCGCTCTTGTTGCCCAGGCTGGAGTGCAATGGTGTGATCTCGGCTCACCGCAACCGCCGCCTCCCGGGTTCAAGCGATTCTCCTGTGTCAGCCTCCCGAGTAGCTGGGATTACAGGCATGTACCACCATGCCCTGCTAATTTTGTATTTTTTAGTAGAGATGGGATTTCTCCATGTTGGTGTGGCTGGTCTTGAATTCCTGACCTCACATGATCTGCCCGCCTCGGCCTCCCAGAGTGCTGGGATTACAGGCATGAGCCATCGCGCCTGGCCAACTAAATGCCTTCTTTTCCATAACCCAGCCTTTCTGCTTGAATCCCCATGGAAGTCCTGGCCTCAGCCAATAACTTGGGCAAAGGTGTGAAGGCAGAACGTTGCAAGCGAGGCAAGTGGTGTGATCAAGGCAGGTTTGTGTGTTCACATATGTGTATGTATGGAGGTGGGAGGTTTAGGAGGAGGGTTGGTGTCAGGACTACTTGAGAGGATACTAAGGACGTAATCAGATGTTTGGGGGGCTAGGAATATAGGAATTTAAGGGGATTGCTCTGATTATGTGAAATTGATTGATAAAAACCTTTGTGTGGTGGGTAACAATATGGGCAGAGGGGACAGGGCCCGGTAGCTCACACCTTGGGAGGCCAAGGCAGGAAGATCACCTGAGCTCAGGAGTTCGAGACCAGCCTGGACAACATAGCGAGGCCCAATCTCTACAAAAAATTTAAAAAATTAGCTGGGCATGGTGGTGCGTGCCTGCAGTCCCAGCTGTTTGGGAGGCTGAGGTGGGAGGATTGCTTGAGCCTGGAGGGTCCAGGCTGCAGTGAGCTAAGATGGGCCACTGTACTCCAGCCTGGGTGACCATTGGTCTTTATGTCCAGTCCACCATGGTCTCTCACCTGGATTTTTCTCTTTTTTTTTTTTTTTTGAGATGGAGTCTCACTCTTGTCACCCAGGCCAGAGTGCAGTAGCATGAGCTCACTGCTAGCTCTGCCTCCCAGGTTCACACCATTCTCCTGCCTCAGCCTCCCAGGAAGCCAGGAGTATAGGCGCCCGCCACCACGCCTGGGTAATTTTTTAATATTTTTAGTAGAGATGGGGTTTCACCGTGTTAGCCAGGAGGGTCTCGATCTCCTGACCTCATGATCCGCCCACCTCGGCCTCCCAAAATGCTGGGATTACAGGTGTGAGCCACTGCGCCCGGCCACATGTCTATTTTTGAATCAATTGTTGGTAAAGGGAATAGAATTATTGAAGAACCAGAATTTAGCCCTGTAAGTTATTGTCATTCTTGGTTTGTGTTTATGCTCATAGTTCACAACAAAAGGCCAATGGACCTCACACTTCCCTTTCCTCTTAATAGTCTGGCTTATAAGACACTCAGTAGCTATCTCCTAGGGGAAGGCCTAGCTGCATTCTCTGTTCACTTCATTCACACTTCCTTTTACCACTGACCTCCCTTGGGAGGGACTGTTCTTTCCTCTCCTACCTGACCTCCCCAGCTTAACAGATTTTCCATTATATGCTTTGTGGCCCTCAGCTGTTTTACTTTCAGGATGCCCTCTATATCCTTAGCTTCTCTTAACTTTTATTTTGCATATCCTTCCAGCACTGATTGCTTCTGACCTCATCTCATGCCTGCAAGACATCAAAAGTTTCTCCAAAGACATCCCTTTCTCTCTGCCCTCATCCTACATCAAGGTCTTAGCTCCTTGAAGACTGCATTCATGTGTCTTTTGCCTTCATCCCTCACCCCTCCTTCCTCTAGTCCGTTTGCCAAAATACTTTTGCTAAAACCTGTATGTCTAGTTTCTGCTGATACTCTTAGCAACACTCCCTTATTTCCTTCTGCCTCCATTTTGCCAATCACCAGCTAATGGCTTTGCTCTTTGCATGGTACCTGTTTCTGTCCTACTAGCTTCTAGCCTGAAAAGGAAGCCTTTACTAGCAGCTTCAAACCAGTCCTCCTTACCTTGCACCTATTAACGTTGGTTCAACATGAAGGGGAAGTAAGGTAAGTGGAAGAGGATACACAGGAAAGGTGGAACTGGATTCAGGCATCGGTGTTCTGCCATTGACACTTGGGACTGCTTTCCAGCTTCCACCTGTGGAAACCAGAAAGCATTTGCCAAAAATTCTAAACATAGGGTCTATTTCTGAAGCTGAGGAATTACATGGAGTGAATAGCATGGGGGGAAGGGGATTACTAATGAGGTTGAAAGGAAAGTACCAGGAAGAGACTGACTTCATGCATAATCCACAAAGCCAGGTTTTGTTGAAAGGCGACCTGCATTCTTATATTCCTGCAGGTACAGGGCAGGGTGGGCAGTTCCAGGCTTATAGTCATTATTCCCTAACACTCAAGACTCAGGCTGCTCAAGACTGTACTACCCTTGTAGTCAAAAATCCAACCACCTTGACCTTCACCTCATTATCTGACCCTTTAGCATGGAGTCCTAAAATGGTCCTAAATGGACAAATATCTAGAACTCCGGTAAATTAACTTGAGTAGCATGGGAAAGAAGTAGAACCGCATAGCAGGACTGAAAAACTTCCAGTTAGGAAAGGGGACTCACAGCCGTATTGTATTCTGTAGAATCTTTATCCGTCAGTGCTGTGTATGTACTGATAGTTAAGGTGAATAATAAAACAATTGTGAGGAACGTGATACAGAACACAAGGAGTCAATTAATGCATGAGTCTTAAGGGAAGTTCTTAGACTTCAGTGGGTTGAATCAGAACTCTGAGCTTAGAGAAACAGGATGCCCCAGTAAACATGATTTGTTTGAGAAACTACCATATGTAATAGATGATTCCTTAATAAATTGTTTTCACTAGGTCAGTTTAATCTTGGAAATTACACTATAGATACCCTGGTATTAGCCACAAGGCTACGCTGTCTATAGGGTCAGTCCAGTGTAAACTGACCCGTTGGGGTCTTTAAAGCTCAAGGAAAAAGGCCATAGCTGATTTCTCCTAAATCAAGAGAGTCCAATTAACTTTTTTTTTTTTTTTAGATGGAGTCTCACTGTGTCACCAAGCTGGGTTGCAGTGGCGTGATCTCAGCTCACTGCAACCTCTGCCTCCCAGGTTCAGGCAATTCTTCTCTCAGGCTTCTGGGTAGCTGGGACTACAGGTGCGCACCACCATGCCCAGCTAATTTTGCATTTTCAGTCGAGACGGGGTTTCACCATGTTGGCCAGGATGGTCTCGATCTCTTGACCTCATGATCCGCCCACCTCTGTCTCCCCAAAGTGCTGGGATTACAGGTGTGAGCCACAGTGCCCAACTTCTATGGGTTTTAAAGAAAAATTTAAACTTTTTCAGATCACTTCCCTAAAGGAACATACTGAGCATAGCTTGGCTGGTTAGAAATTAGGAAGGCTAGCCTGGGCTACATGGTAAGACCCTGCCTCTACAAAAAATAAGAAAAAAGTTATAGTGGTGTGTGCCTGTAGTTCCATCTACTTGGGAGGCTGAGGTGAGAGAATCGCTTTAGCCCAGGAGGTTGAAGCTGCAGTGAGCCACGATTGCACCACTGTACTCCAGCCTGAGTGACACACAGTGAGGCCCTGTCTCCAAACAAAATTAGGAAGGGTTTCAGAGAGGAAATAAACACAACAGTGCCAGTTACTTCATTCACACACTTAGCATATGCAATTTTAATCAACCAAAAGAAAATCCCAAATGTACAAGTGAAAAAAATCCAAACTGTTGACACAGGCCTAACTAATATCAGCTACTTTTATGTACAGCTGTATAAGTTCAAAAAAGCTATCCTATATGTATATACAAAAGTTGTTTATACACAGGTCTGTACATAAGGGTCTATACATTTATTTCCTCAGAACCCTTAGGTGCCACCTCTTGGTGAGGACACCAACACTTCATTCACATATCTTACAAAAAAGAAAGACAATTTTCAGGATTGACAACATTGTGCATCCTGTATTCAGACAATGTACACTCCACTCGACTGGTTAAGATCCTTCCATCATAATGCGGACCACACCAGGTGCATGGGTTCCACCAAACAGCTTCACACAGAGTGCTCCGAAGTAAAAGCCCATAAACCAACCCGAGATGAAGAAGCAGGGTCCTGCCCAGGGTGCCACCACAGGTCCGGGCTTAGTTGAGTCTGCCTGCCCTGCTCACTGTCGGTATTCCAATTCATCTACACTGATAACTTTGGCAGGCATCGAAGGCAGGGGTTGCTGTAGCACATCTGAGCCAAACCATTTGGCAAGGCCCACAGGGGAGCTGCTCCTCTGGCTGGGGCGATGCTCCAGCTGGGAGTGCATGTGGGGCAGGCCCGACCGGCTAGGCATGTTCTGAGGAGTTGTCTGAACGCTGACAGCTGCTGCCTGGGAACCAGAGCCTGGAGGATGCAGAACTGTGGAGATAAGAAGGGTTATCATTCACAGCATGAGAAGGAAAGAAGTTTGTTAGACCCTGCTTCATTAAACCCTATCCAAAGAAGAATCTTTACTAGAGGATTTTTTCTAGGGCTTCTTTAGATAAAACTCCTTTGTAAAATACCAACAATGCCAGAAAACAGTACCATGGAAAGCTGAGCTATTCAGAAGCTACCAGTATTGAAAACCTACCCTGGATGACATGACTGCTACTTATCATGGCAAGTAACCACATCACAGAAGCAGCAACATTAACTGGTGAGGGGGCATATACCCTGGGCAGGCCGGATGCTGAACCTCTGTTGGATTATCAGCCCTCTCTAACAGGCAAAGGACAAAGCCAGAGCAGAGCACACTTGACTTTTCCCACTGACTGCAGGAACAGTAATCCCAAATTGCATAGAGGTCAATTTACTTCATCTTATTCTCTGGTTACACTCTTGTCCCAAACTTAGAACAAGTTAAAGAATGAATGTTAATTCATGTCCACTGAAAACTAGTCCTAAAAGCTTTAAGACTCCGTAAGTCTGTCCCAAATTCACCTGTCAAATTCCTGAACCTACCTGAGCGCTGTAGCTGCTGTTGCACCATTGCCAGATGCAGAGGTGTTCCAGGACGAGGGTTTAAGAGAGGGTGACTAGCAGCAGGTAAAGGGTAAAAGGGCTGACCCAGGATAGGGCCAGATATTCCCTGTAAATGAGTCAAGTCCATCCCAGGAGGAAGCACACCTGTTGAGCAGAAAAAGCAAGCAGCTGAGTAGTCTTAATGCTACCTGGAAGTTTTCCAACTTCACTGTACAGTTTTGCTGATCTGGAATTTTGTTAAGAATGAAGGCCTAGGTGCAATGGCTCACGCCTGTAATCCCAGCACTTTGGGAGGCCAAAGCAGGCAGATCACGAGGTCAGGAGTTCAAGACCAGTGTGGCCAACATGGTGAAACCCCGTCTCTACTAAAAATACAAAAATTAGCCAGGTATAGGGGCAGGCGCCTGTAATTCCAGCTATTCCGAAGGCTGAGGCAGGGACCTTGAACTTGGCAGGTGGAGGTTGCAGTGAGCAGAGATTGCACCACTGCACTCCAGCCTGGGTGACAGACCAAGACTCTGACTCAAAAAAAAAAAATTCCTCTGGCTCATGCCTGTAATCCTGACACTTTGGGAGGCTGAGGTGGACAGATTGCCTGAGCTTAGGATTCTGAGTTTGAGACCGGACTGGACAACACGGTGAAACCCTGTCTCTACTAAAATACAAAATAAATTATACGGGCTTGGCGGCGTGCACCTATAGTCCCAGCTACTTGGAAGGCTGAGACAGGAGAATTGCTTGAACCCGGGAGGCGGAGGTTGCGGTGAGCTGAGATCGCACCACTGCACTCCAGCCGGGGAGACAAGAGTGAGACTTCCGTCTCTACAAAAAAAAAGAAAATCCTCAAGCTAGGTTCCTAATGTTTTAAAGGACTAGGAGATTGGATTGGACCCACTGCCTGCTTGTTAGATGGGAGACTCTAGTAACATCTTTCTAAGTGATGGAAATCTCCCACATTATAGCACTTCATCAATGCCAATAATTGTCCTCTAGGCCCACAAAATGACACCCAAGTCAGGCTGGAAACTCACCAGTTTGGAGCAAACTTGGAAGATGCTGTGGATGTACTCCCTGGGCCAGCATCCTCTGTACCAACCCTGGGTGAAGCTGGTGAGCAGGCCTAACCATAGGAACATGGGGGACAAGGGGAACTTGGTGGACAGGGCGGAGAAAAGGTGTTGTAGGAACTGGGGATGCCAAGGTGGGTGTTTTTCTCCCAGTTGCTTTAGGTCGATAATCTTCTTTGGTGTAACGGCTGGTCTGGGACAGTGGGGTGGAACACGAAGACCTCTGTAACGCTGACAGTTTTGGATTTGTAGTGGGAGAAGAGTCTCGATCGGCACTGGGTACAGAGCTGGAGGACAGGAGGTTCTCTGTGAGGATCCAAACAAAAAATATTTTGGTAAACTTCTCCCAAACACTTGTAGTCTCCCACTGGTCTAATAAATCTCATTTCTTAAGGTCACAATTCTTATCTGATACCCTTAACAAGTTTAGAGAACTACACAGTAGGAACCATCATTTGCTTAATAAACAGGACCAGAAGATGAATTGTTGGGCACCCTTCTCTGCACAAACGGCTATGGCCTAGATTATGCAAATCCATCACAATGGAAAATCTAAATGGCAATTAGAGTCTGGCCAAAGAACCAAACTGTCTTAATAGTACCAACAAGATTTCCTCCCCACCACCCACCCCAAGCCTTCTCAAACATAGGCAAAAATCTTTCAGATCTATATTGTAACACCTGTGTAAACCCTAATTTAGAATCCGCACATTACCATGTCCTTCACAATCCCTACTGTGCAACTCCTAAAAGCCTCTCACATATTTCCTATGTTGGACACTTAAGTCTCCACAGGCTGGATATAATCTTTCAGAAGTAAAACTAGCTGAATTATACTAATTTGCCAAATAAGTATACTAATTATTCAACTTTGAAGCCCAACTAAGGATTCTAAACTAACACTCATTCTACCCGTCTAGTAGTAGCACTCTTAGATTGGTCAGAATTTCAAGCAACTGTGAGCTGGCACAATTCTTCTCACTGTCACACAGAACCTTCTCACTGACACAGAACGATAGTCCAGAGAGGCTAGTGGTCTTGCCCAGGGCTTTGTATAGAATATCAGGCTGGACAGCACAGCACTCAGGCCCATGTTCTCTCCATTATATACTTTCTTGAGCAGTGCCCTTAACAGCTCTGCAGTACCTTCACTGGCCTTCTGAGTATCCTCTTTACTGTCACCAAGAGCTGCTTTTCCAGATATTGGCTCCTCCTTGCTTTTCTCTTTGCTCTCGTACATCTTACGAATCACTGAGGTAGGGGTAAAGGAAGGAGAAAGCTGCAGAGAAAAACAATTGGCATTAGCACATTCTCTAAGTGCCTTTCTGTAATACTAAGCCAGGATTAACTGGCCAAGCTACTCAACAAAGAGTCCCCACATTGGTAGCAAAGGCCAACTCTAGTATTCTGTTCTGTAGCTGCTGGAGGAAAAACAGAATGGGGCAAACAGGCAGTGTCCCAAGTACATTATCCCTTGCTTACAACTCTGTGATAATGGGGACATGCCTATGCAGCCTCTGCATTACCCATTTCCCAGCCTGGGATTAGGCTGGCAAGAAAGAACATGGCCAGAAATATAACTTGGAGCAACAGACCTTCCTTCTGCGAAAAGACATTTCAAAGACAATGTCAGAACCAAAGTTACTCCAAACTCCTAATATTTCCCTTCTTCACTTGGCTACTAGACTATCTCAATAGTCTCCTCAGCCATCAGGATTAACTAGAATTACTCCATACTCCTAATACTTCCCTTCTTAACTTGGCTACCAGAAAAGTCAAATTTATCTCAATAGTCTCCTCAGCCATCAGGATTAATCATTTGGAGTCATTTCTTATCTCTTCACTAGTTCTACTTTGGTGATTTTATTTTGCATTTGCCTTTTCTCACCAAACCACCCCATATCTTTGATGGCAGGAGACAGGGCATGACTTACAAACAGAAAAGTTCCTTCCAAACCCTGCTGCCTTCAAGGTCACTGGTACAAAGACCCATGTGGGGTTCTGAAGCACACAGCAAAGTTTTTTTTTCCTTCTCTATCAGCTTTGATTGGATGATAAAGATCTATGGGGAATGAAACTTTTTTTTTTTTTTTTTTTTTGAGACGGGGACTCACTAGGGAGGGCAGTGGCACGATCTTGGCTCACTGCAACCCCTGCCTCCTGGACTCAAGTGATCCTCCCACCTCGGCCTCCTGAATATAGCTGGGACCACAGATGTGCACTACCATGCCTGACTAATTTTTTGTATTAGGGGTAGAGGACACGGTCTCACTAGGTTGCCCAGTCTGGTCTTGAACTCCTAAACTCAATCTACCTGTCTTGGCCTCTGAAAGTCCTGGGATTACGGGTGTGAGCCACCACGCCCAGCTGGAATGAAACATTTTTTAATGATATAAATGATATAAAGTTATAAAACTAGACTTGTCACTGCATATAAGCAAACCCTTCTGTTCCAGCCTTAGTTTGTATCACTGAGACCTGAAATGGTGAATCCGAATTTGTGAACTCCTCTGCAAGTTTCAATAGACTTGCCACTGTCTGACCCAGTCACCTCTGTCCACTTCACCTCCTCTCTCTCACTGTTGTCCTCCTGTCTCCCCACACCTGGTTCATTTCTTTGAACATACTATATCACCTCATGTGCCCTGGCCCATGATCATCTCTGCTGGAACATATTTTCCCCAATATAGGGGCTTCATTTAAATCCTAAGACTTAGACTGTCCTAAAGGGGAAAAACCTAATAGACAGGTATGAAAGACTACTAGGTCAGTTATTCCTGTGGAAGGAACTCAAGGACATTTAGGGCACCCAGTGGTACAACACACGCACAACCAAACAGGGAGAAGCCTTTAAGTCCTTCACAGTCACTAAAGGTCACTGACCATGCTTGTGATGGAGGCAGCAGGGGCAGGGGAAGAGGAATTCCCTCGATGCACTGGTGCTGGTGACTTGGTCACTCGCTGTTGCCTGTGAACAAACCAGTTATCAGCATGAACCCCAATCTCCTTAACTTCAAGTCTTAAAACCATATAATACTCAAGACCAGCCTAGGAATTTTAACATCCCCTTTCCCTTATCCAATTCAATTTCCCAAGCATTTAGGCCTAACATATGCAAAAGTACATGCTAAGTTCTGAGGGAAGGCAAAAGCAAAATGAAACACGATCTCAGTCTTGTAAGAGCTCTCAGTGTAGTGGGGAAAACAATCACCTAGAGCAAACCAAGGCATGTAGATAGTAGGCACCAACAAAGTACAATGGGAAAATGGAGGGGTGAGAAGGACTAACAGGCACTGCAGGGATGCTTCCTGGGGAAGAAGCTGCATTCCACTGGGTGTGATCAACAAGAAGCTGAAGATAGAGAACAACAGTTCAGGTAGATGGAACAGGTACAGGAACTTGGGAGGGCCTTGGAATTGTAGGGTTATCCAGAGCTGGTGTATAGTTTACTGCAGACTACACCAGTGAGGTGCGCTAGGATGGGCCTTCATTCTAGGGCTGGCTGTGCTTCACTGGGCAGGGAGCAGCAATAATTAGTGCAGTGCCTGGCATAGAACTGATGCTCTGTGTGACACTCATTCAAATCAAATACAGAATCAACAGTTTCAGCTATTTTAGGACCACTCTTGGTCTACACAAGATTGATCTCAGGTCTCAAAGGTCAAGACCCAAGTGTAGTCACTGACCTGAAGTTCTCTGATAGATGGAAAATCTAAATTCATGGCTTCTTTCTAGTTAGTACCCCCATTGCCGCCATGCTGTGACTGTGTATATGACAACACGGGCAGATAGATCAGTACTATTCTGAGTGACTAAAAAATGAACCCCAAACTGGGGGTTCCACATGACCTGTCATTCCTTCTGGTAAACATATTTGAGCACCTGCTATAGACACTGTTCCAGGTTCCTGGAATATAGCAGTGAATAAAAGAAAAAGAATCTCTGGCCTCATGGAGGTTATATTCTTGGGGCTGCAGGATGGAGTGGGGTTACTACAGGCAGGGAGATAAAAAATAAATAGTATGCTAGAGAGTGATGAATACAATTAAAAAAAGCAAGGTAAGGGGAAAGGCATGTTTGTTGGAGGGACACAGCTGTACACAGGGAAGACCTAAGAGGCTGACGCTGATCCAAAACATGAAGGCTAGACTGACATTGACTCAAATATGCTTGCTAGTTTTGAGTAAGCCATGTTGTAAAAACCTGTTTTCTGTATCTGTAAAATGCAGTTACGTACCTCCCCTCATCTACCTCACAGGGTTGATGTAAAGATCATATAAAATTCTGGGCCAGGTGTGGTGGCTCATGCCTGTCATCCCAGCACTTTGGGGACCAAAGCAGGTGAATCACTTGAGGCCAGGAATTCAAGTCTGGCCAACATAGCGAATCCCCATCTCTACTAAAAATACAAAAAACTAGCCGGGCATGGTGGCACACTCCTGTAATCCTAGTTACTCAGGAGGCTGAGGCATGAGAACTGCTTGAACCCAGGAGGAGGAGGTTGCAGTGAGCCAAGACTGCATCACTGCACTCCATCCTGGGCAATAGAGCAAGAGACTGTCTCCAAAAAAAAAAAAAAAAAGAAAAAGAAAAAAAAAAAGTTAAAAGTACTCTGAAAGTCGCAAATCACATCAATGAATACCAGGTAACAGCATTATGCTATAGAGAGAAAGCATGTGAGAGGGGTTCAGCAGACCAGTCTGGAGCTCTCTGTTTTGGTTGAAGGGTGCTATAAATAGGATGTGCTTGTGTAAGGGTATCTCCTGATCTCAGTGTCTTCTGAAAGGGTTAACAGGTGAAGCAAAACACTGAGGCACTGTGGTAGTAACTTTAAGAATCACATCAAAACATTAAGTACCAAGTATTTTAAGGGTGGACTAAACTATAGTGTTCAGGGATGTGTATTTTGGTGATAAATTACTTATTTTTAATTAAGGTAGTGATTACTTTTAAAGGCTGGACAGTGGAGAGTTCTGAGGAGGAAAACAGGTATTACTGGTACAGGGCACATGGAGGCCCTCTGAGTAGTTAACAAGGAAGTTTGCCTTATAATAAGCTACAGATTTGTTTTATATAGTTTTGTCTGTTTTATTTTACACTAAAATAACATTGCCACCCCTTTCCGTTTTCTCCCCAACTTATAATTTCATTTTACCATTTGTTGCAACTATTGAAAAAGAGGAGGAGAGTGAACTCCGCAATCTACTTGTTAACAAGTCTCATCAACAAACCCATCAGCTCTGGCCAAGAAACTGTCGATGCAGCAAACCTGCATCAAGGGAGTTTGGTAAGAACATTGGATCTGTGGGAAAAGGAATAAGGAGCTATGCTAGTTGCATTTGTAAAAATGAATTGTTTAACTGGTAGAAACATCCTAAGATTTTAAAATATATTTACTCATAACAATCTTGTGAGGTAAATTAGGCAAGCAGCATCCCTTCCATATAGCTAATTAGCAAACTCAAAGAAAAAAAGTCATTTATAAATCAAGAACGGAAATAAAACCATATCGAATGAAAACCCTATGCCTTGCAGAATTTAATTGTATTTTCTCTATTTAATCTATTTGTTCTATTGATTTGGATTGGGATGGAATTTCTACCACATATTGAACAACATACCACAGTATGTGCAACAGAATTATACTGCAGATAAGTAATTTGTTTCAGGAAAACTTATCTGTAAATCTCCACATGAGCAGGATTAGTAATTTACCTGTTTCTGAATCCATCTCTGGTTCTGTCCACCTGTGGTTTGCCAAAACCAGGCTGGTAGAAGTTTGCTGCCTGTACAGCAAGGTCATGTGGCAAGGCCAGCCCTTCTAAAGCTGCCTGTTGCAACTCCAGCTGGCTCATCTGCTGAAAAGGAGAGGAGAGGGTCAGGAGAAGAGTGAGGACACCATACTTTCTACAAAGGTCTCTCTTCACTCTTAGAAAGGTAAGTTAAACAGAAGCTGAGAAAAGTTAGATACTGCAAACCTCACTAAATTGTGCTGCCATCGCAGTGATCAAGATTAACAATTTTATTACTTGAATTATTCAGCAAATTGTCTAACCTTCACTGAGCTTGAAATATAGATCAAAACCATTTATTGGTTTTTAGAGACAGGGTCTCACTCTGCCACCCAGGCTGGAGTACAGTAGCTCACTGCAGTCTCAATACTCTTGGGCTCAAGTGATTCTCCTGCCTCAGCCTCCTTGTAGCTGGGACTACAGATGCATGCCACTATACCTGGCTCATTTTCACTTTTGGGCTCAAGTGATCCTCCTGCCTCTGCCTCCCAAAGTGCTGGGATTACAGGCATGAGCCGCCATGCCTGGCCTCAAAACCATTTTTAAGAATCACAACAATTCAGCTCTCCACTCCCCATGCACCAATAGGGTGAAGGGCAAGCAAGAGATTGAGTTGAGAAAGAGCTCAGCCTGACCTGGGCCGTGATGGGGCTCATGGGTTTGCGCATGCCTTGGAATGGATCTCCGAGTAGCTGCTGTGGTCCTGGTGTGAAACCTGTCAGGAAAGTTACAGTCTCAGTGAGTACCAAGATGGTAGGTGTGCATCAGGGAGGCATTTTCATTAATGCATGCCATTTCTTGCTGAACGCCATCTCTTGGAAAGCACTGATTTCTTGGGCCGACAGATGTCCCTCTCCCTCTGTGCCCTGACAGTGGGCTATGTGGACCTCAACCAGAGCACTGTCTAAATTGCTTCTCAACTAAGCCATCAGCTTTGCTCCTTTTAAAGCCAAGACCTCTCTCTGGGAGAGAAGAGCTTTTCTAGCCAGCAATTTGTCCTATTATCACTAAGCCGTCTGGTATTAAAGCAGACACCATTGCTGTGAGAGTACACATTCTCTTCATTCTATCTGTTTGACTGTGGACAGAAGATTTCAAAAAATGCCTCTGAAGGTTTGTTTGGCAGAAACCAGAGTGGCCAGCAGCCTAAAGTAGCTTACGATGGCAGGAACAACACTAGGACATTCCATGTAAAAACTGTGCTAAGACACTTTCTGGAACTTTTCTTTCAGTCACATTTCTAATTAGCCATAAGACTTAACAGTGGATTATCTATCAAAACTCAATAGCTTCACAGAGAACCACTACACTGACTTCTACTGTATCAAAGAAAAATTTAAGAAGCCAAATTAACTTTTTTTGGATTGAATTCCCAAAATAAGGAATAAGACTAAAGAGTTGGATCAGTTAGATTTCAATTAAAAAAAAAAAAATCTATAACATGAACATATTCACCTATAAGAGCAGCTGATAAGAAGATATCTTCCACCTTTGCTCCCGCATCCCCCAAAAGTGTAATATTTTTTTTTTTTTTGAGACAGAGTCTCGCTCTGTCACCCAGGCTGGATTGCAGTGGTGTGATCTTGGCTCACTGCAACCTCCACCTCTCGAATTCAAGCGATTCTCCTGTCTCAGCCTCCTGCGTAGCTGGGATTACAGGCATGCACCACCACGCCTGGCTGTTTTCGTATTTTTAGTAGAGATGGGGTTTCACCATGTTGGCCAGGCTGGTCTCAAACTTCTGACCTCAGGTGATCTGCCCACCACCTCGGCCTCCCAGAGTGCTGGAATTACAGGCATGAGCTACCGTGCCTGGCCATAAATTCATATTTCTTTTTGACAAATAAGTATATTTACCAATTGGTGATGGTATTCTTGGGCGAAGGTAGTCAGCTGAGGCTGCTCGAGTTTGAAACACCTGTGACAAGGGAGGAGAGGGTGCTCTTTGGCCCAGTAAAGATGTTGTAGGCTCCAAGCTCCCCATAAGGCCACTCAGAAGATTGGAAGAAGCAGGTCTCTGAACTGGTTGACCCAGAAGTTCCTAAAGGCAGAAAAGCCAAATCCCTGTGAACTTAGTTCTTCCTTCTACTCAGAGGCTGTGAATTATGGATTAACTTTTGAGAGCCACAAGATGGATCTCCCTCATGCTCAATTGAAGGACTTGGCATGTGTACATGCGACACATTTCTCTGAATGTTCAGCTAGCAACATTTGCTCTGTCTTAGTGCTATAAATAGAGATTCCTTTTTTTTGTTTTGTTTTTGTTTTTGTTTGAGAGTCTCACTCTATTGCCCAGGCTGGAGTGCAGTGATGTGATCTTGGCTCACCGCAACCTCTGCCTACCGGGTCCAAGTGATTCTCACGCCTCAGCCTCCCAAGGAGCTGGGATTACAGCCATGTGCCACCACACCAGGCTAATTTTTGTATTTTTAGTAAAGTCAGGGTTTCTCCATGTTGGCCAGGCTGGTCTCAAACTCCTGACCTCAGGTGATCCCCCCCACCTCAGTCTCCCAAAATGCTGAGATTACAGGTGTGAGCCACCGTGCCTGGCTAGATACTTTTAAGTTCCACAGAAACTACAAAGCAAACTAGAAGTCAAGGCTTAGTTTGTCAACTTTTTTAGCCACCCTCCATCCCCTGCCCATTAAGATTAACAGCAGCACCAAACTATGTCAGGCAACAATATCACATCTCTGATTGCCAGGCAATACAGATCATTTTCTAAGACCCAAAGCTGGACCAATAAACAAAACTGGTTCAGAAGACTACTATTCAAGACTCCAAGGCCTCAGTATAAGATTGTGAAGTACCTGCAGGATGTTCTTAGGGACAGGCTGGCCTGGAATCTCAGCAGGGGACATCAAATGGCTTTCAAGGTTTCGCTAAAAAAGTCAAAAGAAAACTGGTTTTAACTCTCTTAACTCACTTAACTTACAGATTGATTGGGGACCACATGAAAGCATAAAGTACTCCTAGGGAGTTAATAGAAGAATGATGCTCAAGTCACAGAAAACTTAACCAACTCGTTCTGCTCTCATCACATAGGTCCCAAAAAAGATCTGGGGATGGAAAGGCTGTTCGCATGTACATGCAGAGTCCCCTCAGAGATCCTCAGTATGCTAACCCTAAGTCCATTTCCCGGTTTCTAACACTGTGACCAAAAGAAGGGGGAAAAATGGTGAAACCAGGGAACACTTAGTTGAGACAACTCTTGCTACCCATTACCTTTAACAAGATTTATTGGAGACACACACACATACATATATACAAACACACACACATATAAATTCTGAGACATGGTCTTGTTCTGTTGCCCAGTCTGGAGTGCAGTGGTGCGATCATGGCTTGCTGCAGCCTTGACCTCTCAGGCACAAGCAATCCTCTCATCTCAGCCTCCTGAGTAGCTGGGACTACAGGTGTATGCCACCACACCCACCTAATTTTTATATTTTTTGTAGAGAGGGGGTTTTGCCATGTTGCCCAGGCTGGTCTTGAACTCCTGGGTTCAAGCAATCCTCTGGCCTTGGCCTCCCAAAGTGCTGGGATTATAGATGTGACCCACCACACCCAGCCTACACATATGGTTTTAAAATCGTAGTAAACAACATGCAGGTTTGGCTAAAATTGTTATATTTCAGAGTTTCATATTTCAGGAAATTTAAGCTTTATTATTATTATTTTTTTTTTTGAGGCAGAGTCTTGCCCTGTTACCCAGGCTAGAGTGCAATGGCGCGATCTCGGCTCACTGCAACCTCTGCCTCCAGGGTTCAAGCAATTCTCCTGCCTCAGCCTCCTGAGTAGCTGGGACTATAGGCACGTGCCACCATGCCCGGCTAATTTTTTTTCTTTCTTTCTTTTTAGTGGAGATGGGGTCTCACTATGTTGGCCAGGATGGTCTCGATCTCCAGACCTCGTCGTGATCTGCCCGCCTTGGCCTCCCAAAGTACTGGGATTACAGACATGAGCCACTGCGCCCAGCAACTTTATTATTTTTTAAGCGAGCTGTTCCAAAATGGGTATCACATACAGGGCAAAATTCAAATCCTCCACTCTTAAAGCAGTAGTGGTTACCTTTTTTTTTTTTTTTTTTTTGTGAGACAGTCTGGCTCTGTCGCCCAGGCTGGAGTGCGGTGGCCGGATCTCAGCTCACTGCAAGCTCTGCCTCCTGGGTTCACACCATTCTCCTGCCTCAGCCTCCCGAGTAGCTGGGACTACAGGCGCCTGCCACCTCGCCTGGCTAGTTTTTTTGTATTTTTTAGTAGAGACGGTGTTTCACCGTGTTCGCCAGGATGGTCTCGATCTCCTGACCTCGTGATCCGCCCGCCTCGGCCTCCCAAAGTGCTGGGATTACAGGCTTGAGCCACCGCACCCGGCTTTTTTTTTTTTTTTTTTTGAGACAGGTCTATGTTCTTCAGGCTGTGTTCTCAGGCTGGCCTGGAACTCCTGGGTTCAAGCAACCCTCCCACCTTGGCCTCCCAAGTAGCTGGAACTATAGGTGTACACCACCAGGTCTGGCCAGTGGTTACATTTTGTGCATCCAGCCTGGAGTTCCCTCCTGCACTTCAGGACATCCCTATGCCCATTTAGCTCTGCGTGAAGTGCTTTCTCTGGTGTAGTTTCCCTTTCCCTGGATGGAGCTGTCAAAGTCCAAAGCAGTGTCTAGGCATGACAAATAGCCCAAGGATACCCAGGTATTTTATTGTTGATTTTGGAATTGGGACTAAAGGCAGATGATTTTATAAGTAATCTCTTTAAGAGTCATTTACTTCCATCTAATGAAAACAAATAGACAACTTTATACCACATGGCTTATTATACTTAGAGGATAGAATCTATAATTTAAAATATAATTTAGATTGAACCAGCATGTATTACTTTTGGATGAACCAATGTGACAACCGAAATGGACGGAGGCAGATCAGAAATAGTATACAAAACATACACAGCAGTAGTAATTAAAGACGCTGAATTCAAAAAGTAAACCATGACTTAACAACATGCAAATTGAGCAATATTTTGAGATAACACCTGCTATTCTTATTCCATTACTTTCCTTGTTGCGTTCTTTCCTGTTAGCTGAGTTTGTCTTAGCCTTTGCCTAGCCACTTGAATATGTCATCCATCCCTTTGGCAGGTGTTTGAGGCTCATTTGCTCAGCTAAAACCAGATATACTTCAGAGTACTAAAACCCCAACATCAAACCAATTGCCCTTACAACTCAGAGTAAATTGTGTTAATATCAAATCCTAGAATCATATCTGCAATAAAATGTGGAAAAACATCAGGTAAACTGCTGAATCCCCCTTCCATATTTTTAGTTGCTCACACCAAAAGAAAGAGGCTAATTACAAGATATGAACCACACCATTGCAGCCAGCACCCAATTACCAAGACACAAAGGTAACAAGAAAGGAAAATAGATAGTCTACCATCTTTCAGTTTGGTCTTCATTTGAAAGTATTTGTATATAATAATTCTTTGTATAAAAATAATTCTAAAGCAGTTTACAGGGACATTCTCCTGCAACTGGTATGGTGTGGTCAGATACAAAGAAGTCAATCTACCTATCTGAGGTGCCTCCTTTCAAGGGTAGAAGGTCAGTCCTGGCACTAAGGAATAATGGCACCTCTGTCTGAGGATGTTGACATCTCTAGCACTATTGGTCAGATAAGGAATGCTAAAAGTCAGTTGCTTTCTTTTGGTGTAAGGCATAATGATTCAAACAGCTATTGCTATTTGCATCTTAGCTAACTGGTAAGTTCCCAAGCAAGCAGGGAACAGGAAAAAAAAAGGGAAAACTCAATTTGGTAAATTTGCTAGAACTTAGCAACTAGAATAAGTCCATGTTTATGATTTTATTATTCATATCTACCCTGCCTCCCCATTAGTTTGTATCAAGAGATAGTGATATTAACACATACACTATGGGTGAGAACTACCCTCTCAAAATTGTTAGGACAAAGATCAGATTATTATAAACACTTGCATTTACAAGGTGATATGCAGTTGTGTCACCCTGTAACCTAACTTCATGCCTACAAGTTTTGTTTTTAATTTGGAGCCACAGCTTTTTCCATTAGTAAATTAACAGAATGTAATTATCTTGACAAACCCATCTTACTTTTTTTTGAGACAGTCTCACTCTGTTGCCCAGCCTGAAGTGCAGTGGCGCAACCCCGGCTCACTGCAACTTCCATTGCCCGGGTTCAAGCAATTCTCCTGCCTTGGCCTCCCAAGTAGCTGGGATTACAGGTGCCTGCTCCGACGCCTGGCTAATTTTTGTTATTTTCAGTAGAGATGGGGTTTCACCATGTTGGCCAGCTCAAACTCCTGACCTCAGGTGATCTGCCTGCCTCAGCCTCCCAAAGTGCTAGGATTACAGGCATGAGCCACTGTGCCCAGCCCCATCTTAGATACTTTACAAATGATTTCTATGGCTGTAAGAAAGCAGGTAATCCCTGGTATCTGGCAATAATTAGAAGATGTGAATAAAGATTTTACTATACAAATATGGTAAAGTATATGAACTTAAGTAGCTGAATAACAAAATTTTCTCTGGAGGTCATCCAAAAAGATAGTTTTTTACCTCATTTTAGCAGTGACTTAAAGTTATACAGGCATTACATAAGACTGAATCTTTTAATCTTTATACTGTCACCCACAATACATATAAATTCACCACAAGCCTGCCTTCTCCAGTAACGAATAGTGTATTAATAATTAAGGAACACACAAAAGCATCAAGGACCAAATGACTACTAAAGAATTTCCAACTTACTCAGAATACCTTTTTAAAAATCCATTTATTGTGGTGGGAAAAAGGAGAAAAAGAAAGAAAAAAAAAAAAAGAGAAATGGGTGGGTTTGTGCCAGATACTCACGCTGACTTTGGGCTGAGAAGGCAAAGTCCCACTTGCCTTCATTGTGCTCACTAGCTTGTTGAACGCAGTCATGTCTCCGTCTTTCTTGAGTTGTCGATTGTTGGTTACAGCACTCAAGGTCTCTTCTAGGTGTTCTGCCATGAAGGGGGTTGAATTCTTCACTTGCTGGTCCACCTTCAAGCCCTTCAGACCTGCTTCTACCTCCTCCACGGAAAGCACAACCCCTGAATGTGCTGAGAAGTTGAGAATGTCCAGGTTAAATCAAGCAAAGAGATATCTGGTAGGAATTCTCTTTGGCTAGTATGATAGATAAGATGAAAATAATTTATTTCAAAATTGAGATAAGACTGTCAGGGCCGGGCGCGGTGGCTCACGCCTGTAATCCCAGCACTTTGGGAGGCCGAGGCGGGCGGATCACAAGGTCAGGAGATCGAGACCATGGTGAAACCTCGTCTCTTCTAAAAATAGAAAAAATTAGCCGAGTGCAGTGGTGGGCGCCTGTAGTCCCAGTTACTCGGGAGGCTGAGGCAGGAGAATGGCGTGAACCCGGGAGGCGGAGCTTGCAGTGAACCGAGATTGCGCCACTGCACTCCAGCCTGGGCGACAGCGCAAAAAAAAAAAAAAAAAAAAAAAAAAAGACTGTCAGAAAAGACTGACACCAAAAATAGACAAACTAGTAACACTTAAAATCAAATTGTGTACTAAGAGATGGCATAAACTAAACCTAAAATGTTTAGATGCTAGATACTGGGGGACCACAAATATGAGGTGCTATGCTTTAAAACTTGACAAGATCCTGCTGTGCATCCTGCAGAAGGATATGAGTCTTCTAGAAGACTTGTTACCTGGGACAAGAATCCCAGATAGCCCAACATTGCCAAGATTCCTACCTGCACTGTGGTCAGTATATCACTAAGTTTTTTTTTTTTTTTTTTTTTTTTTTTTGAGGCGGCGTTTTTTTGCTTTGCAGCCCGGGCTGGACTGCAGTGGCCGGATCTCAGCTCACTGCAAGAAACTCAAAATGCTTAGATAGATACTTTAGACTATGTATGAGGTGTTATGCTTTTTAAAATTCCTGATAAAGATCCCGCCGTGCATCCTGCAGAAGGATATGAGTCTCTCGAAGATTTGCCACCTGGGACAGACCCAGATATCTAACATTGCAAGATTTTACTTGCACTTGGTCAGAGACATAAAGGTTTTTTTTTTTTTTGAGACGGAGTCTTGCTCTGTAGCCCGGGCTGGACTGCAGTGGCCGGATCTCAGCTCACTGCAAGCTCCGCCTCCCGGGTTTACGCCATTCTCCTGCCTCAGCCTCCGGAGTAGCTGGGACTACAGGCGCCCGCCACCTCGCCCGGCTAGTTTTTTGTATTTTTAGTAGAGACGGGGTTTCACCGTGTTAGCCAGGATGGTCTCGATCTCCTGACCTCGTGATCCGCCCGTCTCGGCCTCCCAAAGTGCTGGGATTACAGGCTTGAGCCACCGCGCCCGGCTATCACTAAGTTTTTATGTTGAGGATTTATAGCCTAAGCAAGAATATGGAAGACTAGGGCAGATTTGTGAGGAAATGGTAAGTTATGCTCTGGAGGAATAAAACATTCACTGGAGTTTGTTTTCAACATTCACTGGATTATTATAACCAGACCCTAGGTAAGAACTTATAGGAAAAGTTCTCATAGGGCTCATGACCTACTGTGAGATTCTCAAAGAGGTGGTATTCTTTGATGAAATGAGTTTTTAAAACAGAACATTAAACAAAAACCCAATATATATTTGACTTTTTAGGAAACAGAGGTATGTTAGACCCAACTGCCTGAAGACTGAACATCTAGACTTTTTCAGATATCTAAAAAATTATAAATACTTACAGCTTTCTTTAAGTTTTTCTTTATTTGCAGAAAGGCTAGAAAGAAGAGGTTTCAAATCCACTTTGGCTTTCTGTAGCATTTCTAAAATATCCACTTTATTTTCAGTATGGTCTTCCAATGGTATAGGAGCAAAGTAATTCCCCGAGTTCTGTCCAGGAGAGAGGATGGCTTGCTCCAGACCTGATATTGCAAATAAACATACTCAAAATTAATCTGTTCCAGTAAAGAAACATGCCTTCAACTGTATTTTTCTTTCTTTTTTTTTTTGAGATGGAGTTTCACTTTAATTCAGGCTGGAGTGCAGTGGTGCAATCTCGGCTCACTGCAACCTCCGTCTACCGGTTTCAAGAGATTCTCCTGCCTCAGCCTCCCGAGTAGCTGGGATTACAGATGCCTGCCACCACGCCCAGCTAATTTTTGTATTTTTAGTAGAGACAGGGTTTCACTGTGTTGGCCAGGCTGGTCTCGAACTCCTAACCTGGTGATCCACCCGCCTTGGCCTCCCAAAGTGCGGGGATTACAGGCATGAGCCACTGCACCCGGCCCCTTCAACAATATTAAAAGGACACAAATTGAAGGCTTTTCAATTGTCCAGAGACCCTTTGACCCTAATCGACTCCTGACTAATGAAGACGAATGAACCGTATCAGGGAAAAACCCAGGTTTACCTTCAAGGGCAGAATCTGAAGCCATTTTACCTGCAAGTCTCTCTAGCTCTTCATGTGGTGTTGACCCAAGACTGCTGGATCGGCTTCCTGATCTGCTCGGGTTAGAGAACCACCTACTGAACCGACTGGCAGAGACTGACCCTTCTCCCAAAACATCTTCTATCATCTGAAGAAAAAGACAATAAAAACTAATAGTTTCTAGATGAAAAAGGACAAGAAGGTTTAAATCTTATGAAAGGGTCACTTACTTTGAAACTTCCTTTGATGCTGGTGACCTGAAGATAAACATTCTCAGAACCTAGGAATTTGAACACCTTTTTCTTCCTCCTTCCTCGGTAATTTCTGAGTATAACCAACTATCTACTTTCCTTTTTTATTACTATTTTTTTAAGACAGAGTCTTGCTCTGTTGCCCAGGCTGAAGTGCAGGGGTGCAATCTTGGCTCACTACAACCTCTGCCTCCCAAGTTCAAGTGATTCTCATGCCTCAGGCTCTCGAGTAGCTGAGACTACACGCATATGCCACCAGACACCTGGCTATTTTTAATTTTATTTTTAGTAGAGATGGGGTTTCACCACGTTGGCCAGGCTTGTCTCGAACTCCTGACCTCAAATGATCCACCAACCTTTGCCTCCCAAAGTGCTGGGATTACAGGCATGAGCCACCGTGCCCAGCCTACTTTCTAAGAATATAAAGCAAAGCCTCTATGCTACAAAAAGTTCTTCAGTTTTCTATTCTTTGCCTCAGGAGTAAATCCATGTACTACCAAATGTTCTCAGAGAACAGTGTCAATGCCACAGCATTCCACTGACAAGCTGATGAGTGACCTTCAACTAAACACCAAGAATGGGGAACTGATGAAAGAAAACCATTGCTTCAAACTTAGTGGTTTCAAGGTTGTAATGAACATTATGAAATTCAATCCTGTGAGTTTCAGAAGCCAAAGGCTAAAAAAAATAGAGCTCATAAAGACCATAATTCCAAGTCAAAGTTTAGAAAAAGTATGACTGTGGAAGATGAAATTACAGCTGATCTCTGTTTGAGATCAATTGAGAGTTTTCAGGTGTTTTCTGTTTCCAAATCCAACCTCCATAGTTTTCATTTAATAAGGACAATTAAATAACACACTATGAACAATAAATTGCTTTGGTAAAAATTACAAAATAGTGCCAATCTTTCTTAAAAACTAAATTTAAGCATTTAAAAAATTTTTCAATTCACATCATACCATAAATTCAGTCAAATATCCAAAACTGATTTTTTGCAGTATTCATATCAATATTTAGAAAAGACAAGATAGAGCAAACATCTATCCAAAAATCAGACATATCCTTGAAAATAAATCATATACTTTCACTTCAATCCCACTGATAAACAGAAAACATGCTTTTTCAAAAACTGATACATGGATGACAGAATTAGTGACTGTTTTACTTGAAATCTGGAACCCACAGTTTCCAAAGTTAAGCAGGGGAAGCTTAGATTTATGCTTTGTTCTTCTCTGGAAGAATGTTTTCATAATCCATACCCAAACTAAGCCACAAAATACTTCTTTTGAAGGGATTTTAATTCAAGACCCTAATTATTGTTTCCAGAATTTCTATTTTCAGAGGAATTATCTAGACAATTTCAATCACATTCCACCTGTAGATGCTCATACCTTAAATAATGCTGACTTTTAAGTGCACTAATTTTGTATTAATTAAAATATAAGCATGATACATCACTGTGAAAAATTGGGGGAGTGTATCCAAAAGTATCTTAGTGATAAACAGGAATTCTAAAAATAACTTTAAAAAGCCAAGTGCGCTGGCTCACGCCTGTAATCCCAGCACTTTGGGAGGCCTAGGTGGGTGGATCATCTGAGGTTAGGAGTTCAAGACCAGCATGGCCAACCTGGTGAAACCCCGTCTCTACTAAAAATACAAAAATTAGCTGGGTGTGGTGGTGGGCAACTGTAATCCCAGCTACTCAGGAGGCTGGGGCAGGAGAATCACTTGAATCTGGGAGGTGGACCCATATCCCTGCCTTCTTGGTCAGGGTATCTTCCTCTGCCACATCATTGTCAGCCATCAGCTGATTGAGAAGAGGAGCCTGGGAACTGCAATTTGTGTTTCAGCTGCCCTTATTAGAGTAGATTTTTAATACCATTTTTAAGGTAACCTGTATGGCTATTAGTCTGGTCCTTCAAGCTAGGTCATTTAGACAAATCACATCCTTGGATTCATAATGTCATTCTGCTAATCAAACAGATTCCATGAAATATTTTTGCTTTTTGACAGTTACTTGGTTGTACTGATCAATGCTTTCCATTTTTATAGTAATTTTTACATTTCGTATTTGTTTCACTAGTTTCTTTTTGTTTGGATTTCTAATGAATTCATTTAAGGTTATACATTTTCTTCTGCACATACTTTTCTGATCTTCCTGCTAATCACTAACATTCAGTATTTCCAATTTGATTTCATTCAATATAGTTACGCATCTATCATGTGTCATGCACTGTAGTAAGAGTACCATATTTTAAAAAATTTTTTTAATTACTTATTTAAATTTGCAGGTATTCCAAATGTTCAGTTTGTATACATTTTTCTGGCTTTTGTCAATTTCTAAGTGAATATAGTCCGCAAATACATGTGTATGTGCGTGTATATTTCTGATCCTTGTGTTTCTTCGGCTTGTAAGTAAGCTCTATGAGGATGAGAACTTTATTTTGTTTACTACCATAGCCTTAGTTCCTAGAACAGTGTCCAGAGGTTAGAACTACTCAATAATTTGTTTTGAGACAGGGTCTTTTTCTGTCGCCTAGGCTGGAGTACAGTGGTGTGATCATTGCTTGCTGTAGCATCAAACTCCTGGGCTCACCCTCCTGAATTGCTAGGACTGCAGGAGCACGCCGCCACTCCCAGCTTATTTTTATTTATTTATTTTTGTAGCAGGGTCTCACAAGCTGGTCTTAAACTCCTGGCCTCAAGTGATCCTGCCTCAGCCTTTGATAAATATTTCTAAATAAAACGAACAAATGTGTTATTTGCGATTTCCTTTGTAGCCTAATAATTTGGTTAAGTTATATAAAAGATAGTGTATTCTCACTTTTGTTATAAAGTTCTGTTTATATTTATGAACACCCAACATTGTAGAGCTTACTAAGCATACAACACTTTTTTTGTTTTTTGTTTTTTTTTGAGACGGAGTCTCACTCTGTTACCCAGGCTGGAGTGCAGTGGTGTGATCTTGGCTCACTGCAAGCTTCACCTCCCAGGTTCACACCATTCTCCTGCTTCAGCCATTCTCCTGCTTTGGCCTCCCAAAGTGCTCGGATTATAGGCATGAACCACCGCGCTTGGCCTCCAATACTGTTTTAAGCACTTACATACTTGTCAATTGATATTCATATCCTTTACAGCCTTTCTTATTTTTCCCAATTGACTTGTAATTTTCTGAGTACTTTGTATTAGAGTTCAGTTGGTTATATAACACACAGCATCTGTTTTTACTGACCTCAGTTTTGCTTTTTAGTGGATTACAGAATATATAATTTAACAACACTTCCACAGAAAGCATGGAGACAGAGTTAATGGCTTCGTTCTGACTGCTTAGCATTAACCATGTTTTGGTTCAGGATAATGGCCAGAGGACAAACAGTGCTCAGTTGCTATTCCTACCTTTATGCTTCAGAGGTAGCATATTTGGGGGAGTTAAGAGCAGAAACTCATTACTGGAACTGTAATTAGAAGTCAGTTTCCACCATTTACTGGCTGTGTGACTTTGAGCAAATTATCTAAATTCTATGCCTATTTCCTCATCTGTAAATGGAAACAGTAATCTGATTTATAAGGGATTTGTGAAGATCAGATAACTTACTGTATATAAAGTCTGCAACAATCAGCACTATATGCATGTTACCTGTTATTAAAAGTTTAGGTTTAGGCCAGGAGCAGTGGCTCATGCCTGTAATCTCAGCACTTTGGGAGGCCGAGGCAGGCAGATCACTGGAGGTCAAGAGTTTGAGACCAGTCTGGGCAACATGGTAAAACTCTGTCTCTACTAAAAATACAAAAGCTAGCTGGGTGTGGTGGTGTCTGTCTGTAATCCCAGCTACTCAGGAGGCTGAGGCACAAGAATCGCCTTAACCTAGGAGGCAGAGCTTGTAATGAGCCGAGATCACATCATTGCACTCCAGCCTGGGTGATGGAATGAGACTCTGTCTCAAAAAAAAAAAAAAAAAAAAAAAAAAAAAATTCCATCTGTCTTCTAAGAGAATGAAAAAAGAAAAAGTCACTAAAAGAAAAAAAATACTATACCCTCAGAAGTTAAGAATTTGAAAGGGCCACTCAGTTTTAGATCTACTAAATTAAACTTGCATCTGGATATGATCCAAAGGACTGGCTAAGAGACTTACAATTAAAATTGCTGCTGGAACTTTAGGAACAAAACCACACAAATAGTTGCCAACATTGCTTTGGAGCCACATTCCATACGCTTCAGAGCAGTGCTACAGACAAGTGTGGACCATGCTGATCTGTATTGAGATAATAATGAGAATAAATGCTTAGAAACTGGTCGGGCACGGTGGCTCACACCTGTAATCCCAGCACTCTGGTAGGCCAAGACGGGTAGATTACTTGAGCTCAGGAGTTCGAGACCAGCCTGGCCAACATGGTGAAACCTCATCTCTACTAAAAATACCAAAATTAGCTGGGTGTGTTGGTGGCGCCTGTAATCCCAGCTACTTGGGATGCTGAGACAGGAGAATCACTTGAACTCAGAAAGCAGAGTGAGCTGAGATTGCACCACCGCACTGCGGTGTGGACGACAGAGACTTTTTCTCCAAAAAAAAAAAAAAAAAAAAAAAAAAGCCGGGTGTGGTGCTCATGCCTGTAATCCTAGCACTTTGGGAGGCCAGGGCAGGCAGACTGCCTGAACTCAGGAGTTTGAGACCAGCCTGGGCAACACGGTGAAACCCCATCTCTACTGAAAAACAAAAAATTAGCTGGGCATGGTGGCGTGTGCCTGTAGTCCCAGTTACTTGGGAGGCTGAGGCAGATTTGCTTGAACCTGCGAGGCAGAGGTTGCAGTTAGCCAAGATTGCACCACTGTACTCCAGCCTAGGTGACAGAGCAAGACTCCATCTCCAAAAAAGGAAAAGAAACTTTTATACCAATTTGGCATTGTCATGACATTTGTACTTTATACTAAAATATTGTTCTTCAATGGAATGGAAATAAAGAAAAATTTAAGAAGACTGCCTAAGAACACATCTGTGGCCCTGTACCTATCAGTACTACACAGTGCCTGCTCACTTATTCTTGGTGGCAATCTTCTGGGTGTAGGGGAGCAGGCAGTGACAACGGAGACAGACCAATGTTGCCTGCTCTGTTGTGCCCAGCTTTGTCCGCTCATACAATAATCAAATAAGGAGCAGTTATGATTAAAGAGTAGGTACTAATCCATAAATGCTGATGGGGCAGGAGCAAGGGTGGGTAGCAAAAGATTCAGGGAGAGCTTACTACTACTTTTAAAGTCCAGAAAGACTGAACCTCAAGAGTTTAACAGCAATACTGAAAGTATTACAAGTTCCTTTTCATTAAAGGTTTTTGGAACCATCACATCCAAAAAGTATCAACCAGGCAGCCTCCTCCAAGGAATGTAGATCAGTGTGACAACAATTGTCAGTTATAAAAAGCCACCTTCACAGTAAGTCTACAACAAACAACTAAAAGGAGACAATGTAAACATCTAAAGAATTTGTATGCCGGACGTGGTGGCTCACACCTGTAATGCCAGCACTTTGGGAGGCTGAAGCAGGTGGATCACAAGGTCAGTTCAAGACCCGCCTGGCCAACATAGTGAACCCTCGTCTCTACTAAAAATACAAAAATGAGGCTTGGTGGCACGCATCTGCGATCCCAGCTACTCGGGAGGCTGAGGCAGGAGAATCACTTGAACCCGGGAGACGGAGGTAGCAATGAGCCGAGATCGCACCATTGCACTTCAGCCTGGGTGAAAGAGATTCAGTCTCAAAAAAAAAAAAAAAAACAACAGGAATTTTTAGTCTAACAGCACCGGCTTAAAAAAGAGTTAACTGGCACAAAAATCTCTTATTATGGCTGGGCGCGGTGGCGCAAGTCTGTAATCCCAGCACTTTGGGAGGCCGAGACGGGCGGATCACGAGGTCAGGAGATCGAGACCATCCTGGCTAACACGGTGAAACCCCGTCTCTACTAAAAATACAAAAAACTAGCCGGGCGAGGTGGCGGGCGCCTGTAGTCCCAGCTATTCGGGAGGCTGAGGCAGGAGAATGGCGTAAACCCGGGAGGCGGAGCTTGCAGTGAGCTGAGATCTGGCCACTGCACTCCAGCCTGGGTGACAGAGGCGAGACTCCATCTCAAAAAAAAAAAAAAAAAAAAAAATCTCTTATTATCCATTAGGCCTCTCAAAACAAAGCCAACAAAAATTTAAATATGTAAGAATAAAAGCCAAAAACCCCAAAAGCATCTAGCAAAACAACACTTTCAAAAAGATATCTTAAATACTCAGGTCAAATTTAACCACACGTTTTTAAGTGTGCTGCTACACTCACCGAAGCCAAGCATGGCACCTTATCAAGGTTAAAGAACTCATTAAAGTCAAATTCTCCTGGGGACTGCTCAGGCAAGATGGCATCCCTTGGCACTTCCTGATCAGCTGCAGGCTCCTGTGCAAGGATGACCTCCACTTCATCTTCTTCGGCCACTCCTCCATTGCACTCTACTATACCTGAAAGCAAAACCAGGATAAAAACCATCTGATAAGTAAACTCCAGTGTCCCTCTGTAGTTTCACCCATCAATATACATGTAGAAGAGCCACAGATGACTTTAAAAGCAGACTTCTTGTGCAGGTACTGCACCTGCAAGAATAAAACAATCTCCTTTCTATGGGAGGCAGAAGAGGAAAAAAGCCTTAATAAAGCCAGAACACCAACAGGATGGGGGGAGGATTATGGTTCCCTTCCTCAGAACTTCGTATTTTCTATAGTGGAGGGTTTTTTGGTTTTTTTTTTTTTGAGATGGAGTCTTGCTCTGTTGCACAGGCTGGAGAGTAGTGGCACGATCACAGCTCACTGTTGCCTCTACCTCCTGGACTCAGGTGATCCCCCTGCCTTAGCCTCCAGAGTAGCTGGGACCACAGGTGCACACCACCATGTCTGGCTAATTTTTAAATTCTTTGTAGAGACTGAGTCTCGCTAAACTGCACAGCCTGGACTTGAACTCCTGACCTCAAGTGATCCTCCTGCCTTGGCCTCCCAAAGTGCTAGGATTATAGTAGTGAGCCACTGTGTCCAGCACCGTACCCAGTTCTTTTTCTAGTGATAGTTTTTTTTTTTTTTAAAGGATAGTCTTTGCAAGTCTCTTATTGCTTAAAAATGGAACCAAATTAATTTAGCTCTGCTTTTGCCCATGCACCTGTAGCACCACCACAGTCAGGACTCAGCAACCTAAAGTATTTATGAGAAACCTGGCATAAGGGTAATTTTCACTTGCCTACAGTTGCTTGTTGTAGCTCATCCTTCAAGGCGAAATTCAAATGTGACCTTCTCCGGGAAGCCTGCCCCGCCTACCCAGTTTTGCCCTACCCAGTAAAATTAATTGCCACCTTCTCTATAATCCTTGTGTCATCTCTGAGTACTTATCACACTGTATAACAGTAACTCTCTGTGAAGCTAAAGTCTCTGAGGGTAGGTAACCTGGTCTAACCAGCCTTGTCTTACTCTATAGTGCCAAGTATACTCTATAATGTTCAGTTGATTTTAGGATGGGGAGATAAAGTGAAACTGCCAGATGCTAACATTTAAGGCATCTGACATCTTAGTTTTTAATGTTTTTATTTGTTTTAATTTATTTTAAATACATAGCAAGGGCAACCTAGAGACATTCTGTAGTTATCTAATGGGATGAACCAAGACCCCTGGATTCTACTCCAGGCTCTGCCATGAAATCCATCCCTTCTCTCCGGGTCTCAATCTCTCTCTGTATCTGTAAAATAAGGAGGTGCCACTCAATCTATCTCACTCCTGGCTCCTGCACTTGATACAAGAATGGTTGAAATTCAGATTTCACCTCACTTAAGAAAAACAATTTTTTCTCACCAGAAGCCTGATCTTTATCGTTAAAGAGGTGCTTTATTGGGTGCTGCTTTGATTAAGAATGAGACAAAGACATATCTCAAAGCCAATTTAATAGCAAAGTCTTCCAAATTAACTATCAATTTCTTACATTATCCTAGGGAAGAATGTGTGATAGCACAAAAATAATGGTAATATGCACTACATTTTCAAGACTACAAAAGAAGATGAGTATTGTGATTCTCCATTTCTTTCTCCTTCTAAATAAATGCCATCAGCTTATTTCTGCTTATATTTGTCTTCATCAAAATGTTAGGTGGCATTGACTTTTCCCTTATTTATTAAAATAGCTTTCCCAGGCCAGGCGCAGTGGCTCACGCCTGTAATCCCAGCACTTTGGGAGGCTGAGGCAGGCGGATCATGAGGTCAGGAGATCAAGACCATCCTGGCCAACACGGTGAAACCCCATCTCTACTAAAAATACAAAAAATTAGCTGGGCGTGGTGGCGCACACCTATAATCCCAGCCACTCAGGAGGCTGAGGCAGGAGAATCACTTGAACCCGGGAGGTGGAGGTTGCAGTGAGCAGAGATCAGGCTACTGCACTCCAGCCTGGGCAACAGAGTGAGACTCCATCTCAAAAAAAAAAAAAAAAAAAAAAATAGAGGACAGGCGCAGTGGCTCATGCTTATAATCCAGCACTTTGGGAGGCCAAGGCGGGCAGATCACAAGGTCAGGAGATCGAGACCATCCTGGCTAACACGGTGAAACCCCATCTCTACTAAAAATACAAAAAAAGCTGGGCGTGGTGGTGGGCGCCTATAGCCCCAGCTACTTGGGAGGCTAAGGCAGGAGAATGGTGTGAACCCAGGAGGCGGAGCTTGCAGCGAGCAGACATCGTGCCACTGCACTCCAGCCTGGGTGACAGAGCAAGACTCAGTCTCAAAAAAAAAAAAAGCTTTCCCCTTTGGTTGCCTAGTATCTGCCAAAAGGCTTTCAACTAACCCTGAAAGCTTGAAGCAGCTAGAATTTACTGAGTGCCTTCTTGAAGGCTGAGTTCTGATAGGTACATGTGTTCTTCAGTGCTAAAAGTAACCCTTAAGTTATGATAGGCATTGTTCTTCACTTTACAAAGAAACAGGCCCAGCTGTCAAAATTGTGTCTAAAATTATCCTTTTCTAAGCAGCAGCCCCAGTACTTTAACCCAGGTTAGTCCCCACCTGGCTTTTCACTGCCTCCTTCCCAAGACCACCAGTCTGGGACTGGCCACCTCAGAGCCAGGTCACTGCCCTAAAAAATGACTGTCTGCAGAACAATGGGCTCCCACTCTGCAGCAGATACTTCACACACATTAGCTCTGGCTCCTTCAATTTACCAAGGGAGATATCTGACCCCATCTTACAGCTGAGGAAACTAAGTTTTTTTTTTTTTGGAGGCAGTCTCAACTCTGTCTCCCAGGCTGGAGTGCAGTGGCACAATCTCACTGCAACCTCTGTCTCCTGGATTCAAGCAATTCTCCTGCCTCAGCCTCTCCTGTAGCTGGGAGTACAGGCAGGCGCCACCACACCCAGCTAATTTTTGTACTTTCAGTAGAGACAGGGTTTCACCATGTTGGCCAGACTGGTCTCAAACTCCTGACCTCAAACGATCCACCCGCCTTGGCCTCCCAAAGTGCTGGGATTATAGGCATGAGCCACCGTGCTTGGCCTGAAACTAAGTCTGAGAGAAGGCAAATCACAAACAACTGACCTGGGAAGGCCTAATACCATGATGAAGAAGGTAAGCTCTGATGGCCCAAAGCATCTTGCTCTACTCTTAACTTCACTACTTATTTCCATGGTGACTACCTTAAGTGTCTTTAAGTTACTTAAGCCCTCTGAGCCTCCATTTGCTCATCTATGAAATGGGCATAAAAAAGTACCTACAAAAAAAAAGAAAAAAAAAAAGGTACCTACACTGGTCGGGCGCAGTGGCTCACGCCTGTTATCCCAGCACTTTGGGAGGCTGAGGCGGCTGGATCACAAGGTCAGGAGATCGAGACCTCAGTGAAACCTTGTCTCTACTAAAAATACAAAAAATTAGCCAGGTGCGGTGGTGGGCGCCTGTAGTCCCAGCTACTCAGGAGGCTGAGGCAGGAGAATGGCGTGAACCCGTGAGGCGGAGGTTGCAGTGAGCCAAGATGGCACCACTGCACTCCAGCCTGGGGGACAGAGCAAGACTCCGTCTCAAACAAACAAAACAACAACAACAACAAAGTGTACCTACACTACACAAGGTCATTAAGACACAAAGAATTACGTGCACAAAACACACTCAGCACTGTGTTTAGGACATAATTGCCCAATAAATGAGACCTCTCATTATTTCTACCACATTTATTTCTGGGGAACTCTTTCATGTACACAGTGCTCTTACAGGATAACTTAAGACTTTTCTGTTTAGTGTGGCAGGCAGAACAAGTTAGGGAAATAGTACAATCTACACTTAGTGAATTCTCACTTTAGAAGCAGTTTCAGGGGCCAGGCATGGTGGCTCACGTCTATAATCCCAGCACTTTGGGATGCTGAGGTGGGTGGATCACCTGAGGTCAGGAGTTTGAGACCAGCCTGGCCAACACGGTGAAACTCCATGTCTACTAAAAAGTGAAAAAATTACCGGGGCGTCATGGCGGGCATCCATAATCCCAGCTACTCGGGAGGCTGATGCAGGGGAGAATTGCTTGAATCAAGGAGAAAGTTTCAAGATCAGGATGCATCATGAAAAACTTGCTATTTCCTATACATCTGGTGCCCATTCCTAAGTGTACAATTAGCCAGTGATAATCACATCTCTATTTTATTTATTTTTGAGACAGAGTCTTGCTCTGTCACCCAGGCTGGGGTGCAGTGGCGTGATAGCTCACTGCAACCTCCGCCTCCCAGTTTCAAGCAATTCTTGTGCCTCAGTCTCCTGAGTAGCTGGACTACAGGCGCCCGCAACCACACCCTGCTAATTTTTGTATTTTTAGTGGAGACGGGGTTTCACCATGTTGGCCAGGCTAGTCTCAAACTCCTGACCTCAGGTGATCCGCCCGCCTCGGCCTCCAAAAGTGTCGGGATTACAGGTGTGAGCCACCACGCCTGGCCTACATCTCATTTTAAAACAGTGAACTTCCCTCCCAAAGTTTGAACTGACCTTCCTTCACAGAGGCTGTCCGTCGCCTTGTTCTTTTTCTCCCTTTGTGATCTTCTTCTAGTATCTTATCATCGAAGCCAGTCAGTTCGATGGTTTCAGACTGACTTGTGGGTCCAGCAGAGAACCACTCTGGTTCTTCTTCTGTATAAGAATCATTTCTTCTACGCTCACCAAAGACACGCTTACTATCTCCAAACTCTCTCTGGAAAAGCAATAAAGCAAGATTAAAAAATTTCTAGTCAAGGCATTTCTACTTAAGAGTCAAGTTCTTCATTGTAAAGTTCAATAGTGAAAGGAAGATATGATGCTGTGTACCTGAAGCCCATCACCATCCCCAGCTCTTCTTCCCTGACTGGTTTAAGAGCAGGCCGTGTTCATGCCTGTTCTCAAAGTAACCTGGTATAAATGAAGTGAATGCCAAGTCCCCAAGCACATGAACTACCGAAGAATCTAGAAGACAAACCCAGGTGGGGTGTGGTGGCTCACGCCTATAATCCCAGCACTTTGGGAGGCCGAGGCAGGCAGATCACCTAAGTTTGGGAGTCTGAGACCAGCCTGACCAATATGGAGAAACTCCGTCTCTACTACAAATATAAAAAATTAGCCGGGTGTGGTGGTGCATGCCAGTAATCCCAGCTACTCGGGGGGCTGAGGCAGCCGCGAACCGAGATCACACCATTGCACTCCAGCCTGGGTAACAAGAGCGAAACTCTGTCTCAATTGGGAAAAAAAAAAAAGAAGAGACAAACCCTGAAACGTTTGTCCTTGAAGTCCCTCTCTCGGTCTCTGTCTCTCAAGTCTCGCAGGTCCTTATCGCTAAGACGGTGATCCTTCTCAAAGGTCCGGGCAGAGATTATCCTCCCACTGCCAATCCTACGTCCACCAAGCAGACGAAGCCCATCATTATCTTTCTCTAATGGACTTCCTGAGCGCCGGGAGCTAACAGCAGCTGTCACGTGGCAGCCCCCTCCAAAGCTCCGTCTCTGAGGGCTGAGAACAACATCTAAGTCATCTTCTTTCACACGCTCTCGTGGATCTGGAAGGATGTGGGAAAGAGAAAGTTAAACAAACCAACAAGGGTGTTCTCTTCTTTTTTAGATAGTATGTCCACGACTAATGGGAGGAAAGGGATGGTTGGAAGACATCACCACTAAAATTGGGCTATCAACAGATTCAGGGTAACATGTGCATTATGTATTTAAATAAGGCTGAGACATTGGCCTTTCTCTTTGCAGCAATAGAAGTACTTCACAATAAATGATTTTCCATGATTAGTCTCTGCAGTGCCTTTATTTTGACCAAATCCTTATCTAAGAATTATTAGCAAATGTTTTATCAACTAATAAACTACAGTAGGTGTCAGTATTTGAAAAAATAACTGCTTAAAAAGTGCCTCTTCAACAAAATGGTGTTGAACGGTTAGATATCCACAGACAAAGAAATGAACTTAAATCTATATTTGGGGCTGGGCATGGTGGCTCATGCCTATAATCCAGCACTTTGGGAGGTCAAGGCGGGGGATCACGAGGTCAGGAGTTCAAGACCAGCCTGGCCAAGATGGTGAAACCCCATCTCTACTAAAACTACAAAAATTAGCCGGGTATCGTGGCAGGTGCCTATAATCCCGGCTACTTGGGAGGCTGAGGCAGGAGAACTGCTTGAACCCAGAGGCAGAGGTTACAGTGAGCAGAGGTCACCCTGCTGTACTCTAGCCTGGGCGACAGAGTGAGACTCTGTCCCCCAAAGAAAAAAAAAAAATCTATATTTGGTACTATATACAAAAACTAATTCAAAATGGATCACAGATCTAAATGTAAAACCTAAAACTAAAAATTCCTAGAACAAAATATAGGAGGAAATCCTTGTGGCACTGGGTTAGGCAAAGTTTTCTTAGGCATGACACCAAAAGCATGATCCATTTAAAAAACACTGATAGACTGGGCTTGATCAAAATTTAAAAATTTCTACTCTTTGAAAGACACTGTTTTAGAGAATGCAAAGACAAGCCACAGATTGGGACAAAATATTTCAAAGCATTTTTCTGATAAAGGACTTAAATTCAGAACACATAAAACCTCTTAATTAAAAAAACCAACCCAGTGGCTCATGCCTGTAATCCCAGCACTTTGGGAGGCCGAGGCGGGTGGATCACCTGAGGTCAGGAGTTCGAGACTAGCCTGAACAACATGGTGAAACCCCATCCCTACTAAAAATACAAAATTAGCCAGGCGTGGTGGCAGGCACCTATAATCCCAGCTACTTGGGAGGCTGAGGCAGGAGAATCACTTAAACCCGGGAGGTGGAGGTTGTAGTGAGCCGAGATTGCGCCACTGCACTGTAGCCGGGTACCAAGAGCCAGACTACATCTCAAAAAACAGAAAAAAAAAACCCCAACCCAATTAAAAAATAGACAAATGGTTTGAACAGACCCTTCACCAAAGAGGTGATGTGGAAGGCAAATAAGCATATGAAAAGATATTCAACATAATTAGTCATTAGGGAAATGCAAATTAAACCATGTGATACCACTACACACCTATTAGAATGGCTAAAATTGAAAAGACTGACCATTCCAAGTGCTGACGAGGATGTGGAGCAAGTGGAACTCTCATACACCACTGGTGGAAACATAAAATGGTACCACTACTTTGGAAAACAGTTTGGCAATTTCCCAGAAGGTTAAACATACATCTACTATACAACCCAACCATTTTAATCCTAGTTTTTTACCCAAGAGAAAAGAAAGCATATGTCCAGAGACTTGTACATGAATGTTCATTGCAGCTTTGGTTATAACAGTCAAAAACTGGAAACAACCCAAATGTACATCAACAGATAAACAGACCAACTGCTAAATCCATACAATGGAATACTATTAAGCAATGGAAATAAACTAGACACTCAACAACATGGATGAATCTTAATTATTCTTAGTGAAAAAAGCTACACAAGGAGTACATACTATAGTAACTACATTTATATAAAATTCTAGGAAATGTAAACTAATCTATAGGAACAAAGCAGACATAGAAAGCAGATCAGGCTGGGCACTATGGCTCATGCCTGTAATCCCAACACTTTGGGAGGTCAAGACAAGTGGATCACCTGAGGTTGGGAGTTCAACACCAGCCTGGCCAACAAGGTAAACCTTATCTCTACTAAAAATACAAAAATTGGGGCCAGGCACAGTGACTCATGCCTGTGATCCCAGCACTTTGGGAGGCCAAGGTGGGTGGATCACTTGAGGTCAGGAGTTCAAGACCAGGCTGGCCAACATGGTGAAATCCTGTCTCTACTAAAAATACAAAAATTAGCCGGGCATGGTGGCGCACGCCTATAATCCCAGCTACTTGGGAGGCTGAGGCTCGAGAATCACTTGAACCCGGGAGGCAGAGGTTATAGTGAGCCGAGATTGCTCCACTGCACTCCAGCCTGGGTGACAGAGCAAGACTCCATCCTGGCGGGGGCGGGTGGAGTTAGCTGGGCGTGGTGGAACATGCATGTGTAATCCCATCTACTCAGGAAGCTGAGGCAAGACAGTTGCTTTAACCTGGGAGGCAGAGGTTGCAGTAAGCAGAGATCATGCCACTGTACTCCAGCCTGGGCGACAGAGGGAGACTCTCTCTCTCAAAAAAAAAAAAAAAAAAAAAAAAAGTTTACAGCGCTTGCTTGGGAAGGGGGAAGTGTTGGGGGCGGGTGCGCGGCTAAATGGAGGACACATAGGAATACTAGGGAACGTCTGGGGGTGATAAAAATGCTTATGTTGATTTTGGTAATGGTTTCACAGATGGATACACATGTCAATACATCAAATGGTATACTTTTTATGCAGGCTATCTGTAAATTCTATCTCAATAAATTTATTGATGTAGGAAGAACAAACAAGTCACCACACAAAAAATGTCTTCCTAGAAAAACCAGGAAACTGAAGATTAGTCCAAGTGAGAAAAATCTGCTTTAATTCTGTTATCACGAACAGCTCCTAGAATGTTCTGTTGCATGCTTTACAGAATTTCTGTGCACAGTCTCAGTTTTTTCTAAACACAGGATACAATATGGACAGTTTTCTATGAGTCAGTACATCATGAACATTATTTGCCAATAAACACATCTGCAACATGGTTTTACAGGACAATGCAATGTAATATTCCTATATATGGATATACCGAAGTTTACATGACCCATTTCTACTGTTGGATATTTAGATTCCTTCTTAGTTTTCATCACTGTAATAAAGTCTCTGCATATCTTTAATGATTCTGCTAGAATAAATTATTTGAGAGACATTACTGTGCTGAGTGGACTGACAGACTGTGTAGAAGGGTTTTACAGCTTAAACTAGAGCTGGGCTATCTTTTTCATTTAGTTCCAAGTTTTTATGATAGGTCGTCCTCTCATCTCAAAAAGATTTCTTGCAACAAGTTCCTTGACTGCTTTTATATTACCTGGTCTCCATTTTACCCTTAAACAACATTTCTAGTTTGAAGGGGTAAACTTTAAACTAGAAAAGTTGGAAGATCAGACTTAACTTCAGTCTCAAACCATATCAAAGCCTTGTATGCAGATCACAGTCCATCATGAATTAAGAATTGCCAGAACTAGGCTCAGCGCGGTGTCTCACGCCTGTAATGCCAACACTTTGGGAGGCCGAGGCAGGGGGATCACGAGGTTAGGAGTTCAAGACCAGCCTGGCCATGATGGTGAAACCCCATCTCTACTAAAAATACAAAAAGTAGCCGGGCATGGTGGCAGGCGCCTGTAATCCCAGCTACTTGGGTGGCTGAGGCAGAGAACTGCTTGAACCCAGGAGGCAGAGGTTGCAGCCTGGGTGACAGAGCAAGACTCCATCTCAAAAAAAAAAAAAAAAAAAGAATTGCCAGAACTAATTCATACCCGAGGACTGGTCTCACGTATGAGAGAAAGCATAATGAGATTTCCAGCACAGCTTTATGCTACCTACCACATCTAACTCAGTTATCCATGCCAATGAAAGATAATTAGTACTTTTAATTCGGAAGCACACAGCCTAACAGTCTTCTATAAGAAGACAGCTATGTAATAGCTGTGACAAAGTAGACTATGACTTTACCCTGCTGATTAGGAAAAATCCAACTGATAAATCAGTTTCCTGATAATGACATTTCCCCTCAAAGCATAAAATTCTCAGAGCTAAGAATGAAACCAGCAGCCAAAAGCATGTCCCCAAAATCACTAACCCCACTTCTGAGTGACTGTGTGCTCACCTACTATCCTGCGCACCAGGGAAGGCCGGTCTGTATCCAACTCTTTCTTCAGACTTTCCACTGGTGAGCTTCGCCCTGAAGCTGGGTAGAGAGAGGCATGCCACTTCTCAGGGTCCCAGACACCATCACTACAGGTCAGAAAATACAAATGTTAGCACTTGCGCCCATGAACCATATAGGCCGTCTGATTTCTAAACCTCCTCGGCTATTAAGTTATGGAAACCCATTTCTCTTTGAGACAGGGTCTCGCTCTGTCACCCAGGATAGAGTGCAGTGGCATGACACTGCACCCTCTGCCTCCCAGGTTCAAGTGATTCTTCTGCCTCAGCCTCACCAGTAGCTGTACAAGTGCCCACTACCACGTCTTGCTAATTTTTGTATTTTTAGTAGATACGGGGTTTCACCAGTTGGCCAGGCCAGGTCTCTAACTCCTAACCTCAAGTAATCTGCCTGCCTTGGCTTCCCAAAGTGCTGCAATTACATATGTGAGCCACTACGCCCAGCTGGAAACCCATTTCCAATATAAAGCTTCATGACTGCCTACAGAATTGTTACCTCTTTTAATACGAAAACCAAAACATCTATTAATTCAGTAATACTTTGTTGTTGATCACACAACACCAGTAGTCTCTTGAAAACTAATGGTCTGTACACAATTGAAACGTTCAGACCGTATACCTTGGAGTGCACATGGATTACAATAACTATGCCTGTACTATACAAAGAAGATGTTCCATAAATATTAACTGTTGTTTACTGAAGATTAACACAAAGGAGAAAAAAAAAAATCCCTTAACTCTCTCACCAGAAGTAGTACCTGGATCATTTGATGTGTATTTTTCCAGAATTTCTATGCACAGTCTTAGTTTTTCCATAAGCAGGGCAGACAGCTCTTACAACCTAAAATGTGTAGTTTAGGTTTTATTTTGTTATTCTCTGTGTAACGAGGGGGTGGTGTGTAGTACAGTGCACAGAGCAGAAACTTTGGAGCCCAAAAATCTGAACCCTAATTCTAGTTTGCCACCACTACTGGGAACATCCTGGACAAGTTACTGAGCTGCATCTTCTGCAAAAAGAACTTCCCAACCACCAGATTAGACCAGGTCATGCTATACACTAGCAATGTACTCCACACTTGTCCTTTGCAGCCTGTGATGTTTGCAATGATAAATTTTTACAAGTATTTGATTGTGTCCTTCCATAGATCAATGCTCCATGAAGCCATGGAATATTTTATAGAACCTGGCACAGTATTTATCACATAGCAGGTACCAATGAACATTTCTTGAATAAGTGAGTTAACTTTTCAGTCTCAAACTCCTCACAATAAAATATATACTACCTACCTTCTAGGGTAGTGGTGAGGATTATCTAGCATTTAAGAGCCCAACAAATTTTAGTTCTCAGAGAGGTGAAACAGAATGAGAAGCTCTCTCCTCTTTCTTATTTTTACCACCAGGCACAGTCTCTGCTTCAGAAATAAAAGTTGTTTGTCTGCCCAGGATAACTTTGTTTTTATTTTTTTCAGACAGGGTCTCAGAGTTCTGTCACCCAGGCTGGAATGCAGTAAGTGGCATGATTATACCTCACTGCAGCCTGAAACTTCTGGGCTCAGGTGATCCTCCCACCTCAGCCTCCTGAGTAGTTATGACTACAGGCACGTGCCACCATGCCCGGATAATTTTTTAAAATACATTTTGTAGGCCAGACGCGGTGGCTCGTGCCTGCTAATCCCAACACTTTGGGAGGCCGAGGTGGGTGGATCACCTGAGGTCAGCAGATCGAGACCAGCCTGGCCAAAATGGTGAAATCCCGTCTCTACTAAAAATACAAAAATTAGCTAGGTGTGGTGGTGGGTGCCTGTAATCCCAACTACTCAGGATAATCGCTTGAACCCCGAAGGCGGAGGCTGTGGTGAGCCGAGATTGTGCTACTGCACTCCAGCCTGGGCAACAAGAGTGAAACTCTGTCTCAAAAAAAAAAAAAAGAAAGAAAGAAAAATCCTAACTAATTGGAATAGCCATTATTCAGGGAATGTGGTTGAGGCATCAAGGTTTTTTTTTTTTTCTTTGAGATGGTGTCTTGCTCTGTCGCCCAGGCTGGAGTGCAATGGCATGATCTTGGCTCACTGCAAGCTCTGCCTCCCGGGTTCGCGCCATTCTCCTGCCTCAGCCTCCCGAGTAGCTGGGACTACAGGCACATGCCACCACACCCAGCTCATTTTTGTATTTTTAGTAGAGACGGGGTTTCGTTATGTTGGCCAGGCTGGTCTCAAACCCCTGACCTTGTGATCCGCCTGCCTTGGCTGCCCAAAGTGCTGGGATTATAGGTGTGAGCCATTGCACCCGGCCCATCATTTCTTAAATATCAAGGTAGATGGTTTCTATTAGCCTACATTTTTTTTTTAACATATAAAGCATCATATTAATGTTCAATTTCCTGGTTAAATAGGACTTTTTTTTTTTTTGAGATAGGATCTCTGTTGCTCAGGCTGGAGTGTAGTGATGCAATCATAATTCACCGCATCCTCAAGTTCCTGGGCTCAAGCAAACCTCCTGCTTTGGCCTCCTGAGTAGCTGGGACTATAGGCACTATAGTACTATAGGTGCTATAAATACAAAAACATTAGCTGGGCGTGGTGGCGGGTGCCTGTAATCCCAGCTACTCGGGAGGCTGAGGCAGAAGAATCGCTTGAACCTGGGAGGTGGAGGTTGCAGTGAGCCCAGGTTGCGCCAGTGCACTCCAGCCTGAGCAAAAAGAGTGAGACTGTCTCAAAAAAAAAAAAAAAAAAAAAGAAAAAGAAAAAAAAGAAATGACTAAGGTGGCCATAAGTAGTACAATATAGGATTATTGTAGGAGATTTTCAGACCATTTTTAGCTATAGTCTTCCCAAACCAAAGCCACCTTCTTCTGAAGGAAACTAAGATGCAATAAAGCTAATGTGAATGGCTGAATAGTTTTTTATGGGAATGCAAAAACAGAACTAAGAGCCCCCTTGAGCAGCATACCTAAGGCAGGTACCCTCAAAGTACAGCGCAAAAAACCACTGGTAGAGAGAGAAGACCCTGGTGAGGACTCCTGGTTGTTCTTTTTATTTTTTTAAGACGGAGTCTCGCACTGTCACCCAGGCTGGAGTGCAGTGGTGCGATCTCAGCTCACTGTAAGCTCCGCCTCCCAGGTTCATGCCATTCTCCTGCCTCAGCCTCCCGAGTAGCTGGGACTACAGGCGCCTGCCACCGCGCCCGGCTAATTTTTTGTATTTTTAGTAGAAACAGGGTTTCACTGTGTTAGCCAGGATGGTCTTGATCTCCTGACCTTGTGCTTTGCCCGCCTCGGCCTCCCAAAGTGCTGGGATTACAGGCGTGAGCCACTGCGCCCGGTTGGGTTCAATTCTTAATTCTGCTTTCTGACTATGTGACTCTGACCAGATCATTTTTTAATTTAAGTTTCATTCCTAGGTCGTTGAAACCCATCTTATTACCTCTTGAAAATCCTCTTTCATAATTCTACCAGAAAACTTCAAAACAATACAATTCTTAATTTACCAAGTTTGGTATAACAAAAAGTTATTGACTAGAAGTAGTTAAGGACTAGAATGACACACATACCTGTCATATTTTTCAGAAAGGCACGAAGGCCTCTGTTTGGAATGGGGGAGTTCTTTTATATCCAAGAGTTCTTCCTAAAAAGAGAAATCAAATAGTCATTTTGCATTACATTTCTTAGGCCACACACTTTAAACTTCTTTCTGTTCTGAATAATTCTAAGTGTCCATCTTAAACACTTCACACAATTCTTATTTATATCTTGCCTTATTTCAGAAAGGACTCGAGTACATCAAGGTTCTTACAAGCTCAAGCAGAATAATCTAGTAACTTAAAAGTGATCAGTTTCTGGCTAAAACATTCTCTCATAATTCCTATTCAATAACATTGTTATAGTCCATAACACTGAATGCTCAGCAAGGCAAGGAAACTTTAGTCTTAGATAAAACCTCTGCCTAATCTTACCAATTTTCAATGCATTAGATGCCAATTTACAAGGGGATAATTTTTTTTTTTTTTTTTTTGAGATGGAGTCTCACTCTGTAGCCCAGGGTGAAGTGCAGTGGCACAATCTTGGCCCACTGCAACCTCCGCCTCCTGGGTTCAAGCAATTCTCTTGCCTCAGCCTCCCAAGTGGCTGGGATTACAGGCACCTTCCACCATGCTCGGCTAATTTTTGTGTTTTTAGTAGCGACAGGGTTTCACCATGTTAGCCAGGCTGGTCTCAAACCCCTGACCTCAGGTGATCTGCCCGCCTTGGCCTCCCCAAGTGCTGGGATTACAAGTGTGAGCAACCAGGCCCGGCAGGCAATAGTTTTTTTTAAATGTAATGTTGCAAGACTAAAAAAACACAAAAAACATCCATATACTGTGTACCTGGATTTACCTATTAACATTTCTCCCTATTTAGCATTTACTTTTTTTTTTTTTTTGCAGAATTTTAAAAAATTGATACAGATCTTTGTATATATTTATGGGGTACATGTGATAATGCTGTTACATGTATAAACTGTGTAATGATCTAGTCAGGATATCTGGGGTGTCCATGACCTCAAGTATTTATCCTTCCTAGGTTTTGGAGACATTTAAAGTCCTCTCTTCTAGGTATTTTGAAATATACAATACACTTGTTAACCATAGCCACTCTATTCTGCTATCAAACATTAGAACTTATTCCTTCCTCAACTGCATGTTTGTACCCATATAATCAACCTCTTTGTATTCTGCCATCCCACCCACATACCTTTCCCAGACTCTGGTATCTATCATTCTATTCTCTACCTCCATGAAGTCAAGTTTTTTGGCTTCCACATATGAGAGAGTTTGTTTTTTTTTTACTAACTTGAGAGTAAATTGCCTAAGTCATGATACCTTACTCCTAAATACTTCAGTGCCTATTTCCTAAGAATGACGATATTCTTTTATAGCCTGTTATCCAGCTCCATGAGAGAATTTGGCCCTACAGAAAATGACCTGAGTGACTATTTTCTCCTTCTCTCAAGGATGTACTTAGCCGGTATCCGATGCACAGGAGAGAGGCTAATCCCTCACATATAACAGATGCTTCAGGGCATAAGGACTTACTTCTGCAGACTCAAGTTGAGAAGAACTGCCAGTTTTTTTTTATAACTACAGTTATCGATAATACTTTTTTCTAATCTACCTTCCCAATTCCAGTTTTGTAAACTGACCCAATAATATCCTTTATATTGATCTTCCCCCTCCAACACAGGATCCAGTCTAGAATCAGATATTTGATTGTTGTATCTCCCTTTGGTCTCCCTTAATCTAGAACATTTCTACAACTTTTGTCTCTTATGATATTGACATTTCTAGAGAATATAGTCCCTTTCTGTGAAAGAACATTATTCATTTTGAGTTGGTCTGATGTTTTCTCATGATTAGACTGAGATTAAATATCCATGGGGCAGAATACTAACTGAAGAGGTGTTGTGCCCTTCTCAGACCATCACTTCTGGATGCCCATGATGTTCATCTGTCCTTTATCTGTGGTGCTAATTTTGATCATTTGGTCAAGGTTTTCCCTAGTTTCTCTACTATTTAGTTACTACTTTCCCATTTGCATTTAGCATGCAATCTGTGGGGAGACACTTTAAAATCATCCAAATATCTTGGTCTCCAGTTTTCCCCTAAAGTTAGCATCCATTAATGATTCTTGACCAAACCACTCTTCATTTTGCCACTCTAGCCCTCTCTCCATATTTACCAGCCAGCACTTGGCATCATACTGTAAAGGCAAGTCCTCCTTTCTCCCGTTTATATACCTATGTATTATTGGTATGGAGTCACAGACTCCTAGTTTTTTCTTTTTTTTTTTTTTTTGAGACAGAGTCTTGCTCTGTCGCCCAGGCTAGAGTGCACTGGCACGATCTTGGCTCACTGCAACCCTCGCCTCTTGCGTTGAAGAAATTCTTCCACCTCAGCCTCCTGAGTAGCTAAGACTACAGACATTCGCCACCATGCCTGGCTAATGTTTTTTGTATTTTTAGTAGAGACGGAGTTTCACCACGTTGGCCAGACTGCTCTGGAACTCCTGACCTCAAATGATCTGCCTGTCTCGGCCTCCCACAGTGTTGGGATTACAGGTGTGAGCCACGGTGCCCGGCCGACTCCTGGTTTTTCTGTTGATCTATAACTCATTAATATCCTGAATTATGTGGTGCTCAAACTGTCCCAGATTTTGCCAGTGGGTGCCTTTTCAAACTGGCCCATGTGTCTTTTTCAACATGCCATCTTTTTTTTTTTTTAAAGACTGCCATACGTTCTGGCTTATCTTGTATTCATCCTGTACCAGCCCTAGAATCAGCTATTTCTGAGAAATCCTAGTTTCTTTAAGTGGGGAATTGCATAAAACACCAAGGTCTTGGAACTGGATATCCTCATTTGCTTGAAGGCCCTTTCAGTAGAGCTAGGAAATATACGCACTTACGTATACACACATGCACACTAACACACATATCTACCCATAGATACACACACGCACACTAACACACATATCTACCCATATATACACACAGGCACACTAACACACATATATACCCATATACACAGCAAATTACTGCCTCCTTTTGGCATACTTTGAAATATTTTTTATAATAAAGTTAAAAAAAAAAAGCAATTCCGAAACTTTCAGCACCAGTAAAATGCTGCAACTGCCTTGTAAAAAAGCACATACCACTATGCCATGACTTTGACAACACTCCCATCCCAGGCCTTGCAATAGGAGAATGTGCACTGCTTCTCAGATCACTGATTCCACATCTTGGGGTGAGGATGGAGGGACAGATTTGCTCACTCAGCCCACAAGAATCACTGGGTATAGCATACCATGAATTCTCTCAGTGTTTACAGAAAACTGAAGCATCTAAATGTTTTCTTCAGGACAAGAAAATGCCTTAGGACTAGATGATATTTTAGTTTTAAGACCAGGATATCAATCAGGCATTTGCATTTATTTAGGATTTATTTATGAATTACCTGTCTTATAAGTGGATAGAAATATGAATAAAACTTTGAAGACTGAGATAGAGTTCCAAATATAAGGAAATATCTGGAGGCTGTTCAAAATTCTGAAAAAAATTGTCGAAGAACTGACATACAACCTATAAATCACCAGTAAAGACAGGAGTTAGCTGGGTGCAGTGGCTCACACCTGTACTCCCAGAACTTTGGGAGGCTGAAGTGGGAGGATTGCTTGAGTCCAGGAGTTCAAGATCAGCCTGGGCAATATAAGGAGACCCCATCTCTACAAAACAAATTTTAAAATTCATTGAGTGGGCCGGGCACGGTGGTTCACACCTGTAATCCCAGCACTATAGGAGGTTGAGGCAGGTGGATCACTGGAGGCCAGGAGTTTGAGACCAGCCTGGCCAACATGGTGAAACCCCATCTCTACTAAAAATATAAAACTTAGCCAGGTGTGGTAGCGGGTGCCTGTAATCCCAGCTACTTTTAGGGAGGCTGAGGTTGCAGTGAGCTGAGATCGCACCACTGCACTCCAGCCTGGGTGACAGAGCAAGACTCCATCTCAAAAAAAAAAAAAAAAAATTCATCAAGTGTGGTCCCTGCTACTCAGGAGGCTGAGGTGGGAGGGTCACTTGAGCTCAAGGCTATAGTGATCCACCACTGCTCTCCATCCTGGGTGAGAGTGACCCTGTCTCAGAAAAAGAAAAAAACAAAAAAACACTATGGGAGAGTCCAGAGACATCTGCAGAACAAACATGGTGTCAGATCTATAGGGTTAGCAAAACTTTGGGGCTGAGGTGAGGGGTGCAGGGAGGATGGAGCAATAGTAGGTATGAAGGTATCAGATATTACTACAATACAGAAATCCTAAGGACAAAAGAGCTTAAAATGTTTCTAGTAGAAACAGGAAGGACCTTGCAATATAGTAAACACTTATACATAATGCTACAGGAAAAACCACTGCAAAGCAATTTTTTACTCTTAGAAGTAACTAAAGATTATCACATATTCCCTTACTACCCCATGCAGATACTAAACTAAGAACCCTGATGTGCTTGTATTAACTCAAAGACAATCTTTCACACTTAAATGTGTAAATTCTTAATGTACAGAAGTTTCTAAGTGGTGTTTTGTTTGAAACCTTTACCTCCAAAGGTAACAGGGATCCCAATAGGTGTTCTCAATTACTACTGCAGTTGTTTGCTGAACTCTATAATGATTTTACTTATTTATTTAGGAGTCACCTGGGAAAGGTTAACACTTTAACACAACCACAAAACATCCAGAAAAGCCTAATTTTGGTCCTATTGATGGGGAATCAAAAAATACTTTAACAGAAGTAACAGTCTTAAAAAAAGGAAAATAGGAGCCTAAAGAGAGAGAACAACTAAATGTAATATGGTATCCTGGATGGAATCCTGGAACAGAAAAACTGTATTAGCTTAAAAATAAGAAACTGTGGGCCGGGCGCGGTGGCTCAAGCCTGTAATCCCAGCACTTTGGGAGGCCGAGGCGGGCGGATCAGGAGGTCAGGAGATCGAGACCATCCTGGATAACACGGTGAAACCCCGTCTCTACTAAAAATACAAAAAATCAGCCGGGCGTGGTGGCGGGCGCCTGTAGTCCCAGCTACTCGGGAGGCTGAGGCAGG